GTCACCAGGCTCTTCACGCCCCGTGAGGGTGCAAACTGTTGGACCTCGTTTGACTGCTTTTGGGGACCCAGAGAGCAGTGTAGACGACATCCGGCTACAGCTGCTGTCTGCAGCCATGGTGAAACGGCTAGCTTAGCCTTCTACGTCGCTGGGACATCGTAGCGTCGTAGCCCCGAACTACAGAACTACTCGGGCGAGAAAGGCCTGTCTGAAACGCCAAGGCCAAAATCACCCAGGCTACAATCACTCAAAGCCAGCGACCTGGCAAACCGTCCATGAGCAACAAGTATACCACCTGACACACTCAGTTGTTCCGCTGCCTTGCTGGGTGGGAGCGTACCCTTCTCGCGCGCCTGTCAGCGACAGCTGAAGAGAGCGCCGGTGCTCCTCTCGCCTTGCTGGCACTGCCTGGCGAATGAAGTCCATGAGCTCTGCTCTCTCTCGCTCCTGCGCAAGACATCATGACTTGAGGCTTCTTGGTGCAGAACTTTGCAGGTTTAGCTCAGACAAAATCGTAAAAGCAAAGGTGTCCTTTCTGGCATAATGTTGCCAGGTCCGATGCACGGAGGCATTCCACGTCTGTACGACGGCAACACTCAAGTAGAGGCATGCGCCTTACAGTGGTTTGCCGTGAGTCTCGTCAGTATGGAGGCCAGGACCACATCATTGAGGTCAGAGCCGATGGTCGCGGTAGCAGAAACGCGCCAAATGACATCGTAGACCTGCACGGTTGGCTTTGATTCAAGACCAGTCTGATGTTAGGCAGAGCCGCTCAGCCGGCCTTGTACCGGTACAGAGCGAAGCTGTACCAGTTGAACTTCTTGTACCACGGCACATGTGCTTCTCGCAAGATGGCGCTCCTCAACCTGGGTTGAAATGCTGTGCGGAACTGAACAGATCCTCAAAGCAGCCTTGCACCCAAGTCTGGCGCATGGCCCTCTGTCTCGTGCCACAGTACGGATGTGGCAGTGTGAGCCGGAATGCTGTGACAGAGTCTGGATCGTGATTGTGATCGGGACAGTAAAGAACACCTTCGTCGGACATGAGCTGGTCCGATTGATGCTTGAAGAGTGCGCCTTTTCTTGAGGGCGAGCCGTCTGCCACAAAGCCTTGGAAATCATCTTTGGCCACTTGCCTGTACAAATCTTGCAGGGGCACCATCTTCTACGGCTTGTGCTGGGCTCCACCTGGTCAGGTCTTGTCCCTGCTTGAACCATTTGACTTGGCGGATGCCCGCAGCATTTCTGCATGCGGCTTCGTGACGGGCTGGCTATGCGTGTGTTAGAGGTCAACAACACGAAGAACGGCCGTGTAGAAGGAGATGCCTGATTGAGTTGAATTATGAGCCGTTTTCTTTGCGGCCTCTGAACATGGCAGCACACAGCGCCATCTCATGTGGCCTTCAACCACGAGGGCAATGGTTTACTGCCTGTGGTGTTGAGCCGACTTTGATCTGCCGTTCTGTCCAAGCTACCATATGCCTATCTACCATTTCCTCTTCAACAGTTCCAAGCATGCAAAGGCGCCATACGTGCACGATCGACTGCTGACCGGTTCGCCAGCATCGTCCTATTGCTTGCTCCTCGAAGTCCACGCTCGTCTCATCCTCACTCCGCTTTGTTGGCTGCACCAAAATGATGTGATTGGCGATGGTTAGGTTCAGGCCGCTCGGAGAGATCTCCTTAGATCATGCGCTGAACTTTGAAGGTGCCAGTGGGAGCCTGCATGCCCTTCTCTGCAACCTAGAGTCCATGGATAACAGCATCACGTTGGTTTGTGGAGACTCCACAAAACGGTTGACTGCTTTTGAGCGCTCCAGCGCGTCGCCCTTCAAAGTGACGTGCTCGACCCCGAAAGACCAGAACGCAGCCTCTCAACAGCGAAGAAAGCAGACTGGACTCAGTAGGGCAAATTGCCGGACGGGCCAATTACCGACATTCTTAACAATGCGAAGTAGCATCCGCTGTGCTGCGAAGTTCTTCTGACTGGCAGAAAACCAATATCTTGGCACCGGATTGGCTGTCCCAGATCCTTAGCAACTTGGCGCTGCGATCTATCCCCACCTCCGTCTCTGAGAGCCGAGCACCGCACCCATGAATCGTCTCCATCACGCTCTGGAGTTTAGATCCGTAGGCGCTGTACATTTCCAAAGACTGCCGCCGGTTGTGGTGTTGGCCCAGCTTCTGCACCAAGCTGCGGGTGTCTGGCATCTGCTGCATGAACGCTTTGGGGATGTCAACGGACACGACGCGTTGGATCATGACTTCGGAGCGGCAAATAGGGCATCGTCCATCCTGATAGAGACAGATGCTCCAACAACGCATGCAGGCTTTGTGGGCACACGGGGCGATGCCGCACTCGCTCCAGGCGAAGTCATCGTAGCAGATGGGACATTCAAAAACTTCTTCCGTATCTTGGAGCGATCTCTCAAACAGGAGGGACTTCGTCAGATGCTGCTCCAAGAGCCGCATGCCTTACGGTCTCCCGCTCTCACTCCGATCGACAGGCTTACCCGCTTCGATCTCATGAGCAAGAAGACGATTCATGATGTAGTGACTGTAGCACTAGCTACCTCACGGGAGGGAGAAGGAAAGAGCGAAAGCGAGACTGGAGGGGGGGAGGGCGGGAGGGAGCGACTGGGTTCTGTCAGGGATCACTCGACTGGCGCTGGTACCATGAACGAGCCTCAACCTGGAAAAGAGTCGATGATGCCAACACGAACAGCAAACCTTTCAGATTTTTAGGAGAAATTCTGAGAACTTAGCCGGGAGGCAAGACAGCTCGTTGTGACATTCCCGGTCAATGGCTGCAAGAAGCTTTTCAAAGGAGATTCTTGCTCCGGCAGTCTCCAGCACGTCATTTCGATGAATCTGCTTCTGTGCCGCAGCCTCTTCAATGCATCTGATGCGCATGGCCTCAGAAAGCCGAGCAGCGATGCATGCAAGCATCACAGAGATGGATTCCGAGGGCAGCACATTGGCAGCTTTTCTCCCTTCACTGAGGTAGGACTCCTCGGCTAGCTGCCTGCAGCTTTGCAACCTGATCAAGTCGAACTAGTGTAACTCGCACCACATCCGACAATGAATGGTCGGAGACAGAGGCGGCCACCTAGACTTCAGCTCGTCCTGCTGCTCTAGTCCGTGCTCTCGCCCCGGCGGAGCCTCGCCTTCAGGAGGCCTCGAGCAATGCAAGTCGCAAAGGACCTCATAGAAAAAACCTCTCTTCTACAGCGGGGAGGGGATCCATCGACGGGAAAGAAAGGGAAAGAAACAGACCCAGACCCGCGCCCAAACCAGACCTTGCCAGCAAGTCATCGTGCGAGCCCATGGCACTGTTTTCCAGGAGCTGTCGGTAGGCGCGGAAGTATGCCTCGATCTTCACGGAGTGCTCAAACAAGTTGTTGTCGAGTTTTCGAGTTTCTTCTTGATTTCGCTTCAGCATGTCGAGGCAGAGCTGCTCAGGAGACTTCATCTTGCGCCTCGGACTGCCCTCGCAATGCACAAAATGAAGAGACGCGCAGTCCCATAGAACCCCAGTCTGCTGACTGTAGGTTTGTTGGCTTTCCCTCTCATGTTGCAGGTACAATGCCCGCTCATGTCTGGACTGGAGGACCTCTACCTTGTGTTGCACGACATCTGGCAACTTCACGGAGTTCGTGTTCTGACGGACCATCTTCTCGATAAACAGTCGGCAGTCCTGTTTCGGGTACAAGCCCTCAGGAACCCGAAAACGAAGTCGAAAGACCCCAAACCCTACAAAGCCCTGGAGTCCTGCTCCGTACGCTCGACCTTCATCTGAAAAAATGTCGCGGTGATCGCTGCCTCTGCAACGGTCTTAAATGGAGGCGTGCTGGTCAGACCCCAGCGAGAATCTGCTTGGAGATGGCTCAGCTGGTGCTTGGCCTCGTTAAAGGGATGCTCGCCATCGACAGCTGCGCCGATTAGCTCGTGAAACTCATCTGCGATGATGCGATGCCAATAGAAATGCTTCAATCTCAGCTTCAAGCCGGCATACGCCCGGCCACGGAAAATCTGGTAGGGGACGATAAGAACATCCGTTTCTTGAATGTCCTCCACTGACAACTTTCTCAGTTCTCCCCCGTTTGCGGCTGCCAAAACACGCAAGGATCCAACAGGTAGAAACTTCTGGATCTCGTTCTGCCACTGCCTCCAAAGGTTAGGTGGCATCATGATGAGTGTGGCACGCGATGGGATCAAGTCTTTTGAAGTCACCGGCAACTGTTTGCAGCGTCGGTGGTCCATCAGTGCCAAAGTGATTGTAGTCTTCCCGAAACCGATGCTGTCTGCCAGAATACCTCCTCGGATGCCTTCCGTAGCATCTTCCCTGGCCATCATCCAGCCCAAGCTACGGAGCTGGTAATCGAAAAGCGGCAGGGCAGGTCTGAAATGCGGCGGCTGGGTAGCTGGAAGATCTTCATCATTGTTGAGAAGCTGCACGGAGAGTGATGGACTACCAGCATAGCCAGCACCTTCCGTTTGTAGCACCGGGCCACATCAGGCCCGGTACCATGAACAGAAGACGTTGCGAGCACTTTACTAGACAGATAGACTGAAACTCCTTCAGAAAACGTTAACTGCGACTGCAAACAAGGCAGCCGTGGCCATTGGCCGCCGCGCAGCGCTGGCTGCGCATGTGACATCAAATTACAAGCATCGAGGTCGCGGCCGTTCAGGGTATTACTACCCTGGTGAACCGGCTTGTGCACCAAAGTGTAACGGAACACGCATGCCACTTTGTCCAGCTTGCTGACAAGTAGGTGGAGTTCTGGCTTGGGCTTGCGCAGATCACGTAGCTTTTTCGTTCCGAGGTGAGACAGCTCGATCCGCTTTGGACTGTTAGAGGGAAGTGGGCCCATGGCGTGTGATTCGTTTTTACCTTGGCGAAGCAGTGCCTCGCTTCCCCATCACTACCAAAGCTTTTTGTACATTGAGGAATACTTGGAGACGGTCGTGTTGACCATCCACCGCTTGCTTGTTTTGCTACGCAGCTCGCGAAGCTGCGAAGTAGCTGAAGCCAACCTGACCTGGGCAGCAGGTACAGACATCAGAGCCCCTTATCCTAGACTCACAAAGAGTCCTAGACCCTCGGACATGCTTCTTACAGGCCGGTGCTGTTGCAGCCCCAGGATAGGGGCGGCCCTTCTTGCATTTCATCTTTGCGGCCATCGAAGTCGTAGAACTGAGACGAATCCGCTCACACTGACCCTGACCCTGACTCTGCTACTTTGCGTCTTGCACCGTTGATTGTCTCCGACCTCCGTGGTATCTAGCAGCTCGCCATCTGCACCAATGCCTGTGAGTGCGGCATGCTGGGGTTGCTTGATTGAAGCTTGGGCAGAGTGCCTCCGGCAATCAGCACCACGGTGTCGTTTAGCCTCGGACTCGCGACTTGCCATGCCCAAGTTTCTTGTGAAGCCGAGGGCAAAGCCGCACCGCAGCCAAGCCGGAACGAGCCGAAGCGAGAGAAGGGCCCGGCCTTTAGGCCAAGCTCAGAGAGGTCCTTCTGTCATTCTAGGCCTTTGTGAAAAAAAGAACTGGATTCCATACGGCAAGCGAAGAGCTGAAAGGCTTCCGTGATGATGGAGGTCTCTGCATCATCATTATCATCAGCAGGCATGTCCTGCAACTAATCGGAAACTTCCTCTTCCCTCTTAGCAGATCGACGAGTCCTTGGTGGGCAACGTGCTTGAGTAAGCCTCATCGGCGTCGTCGTCATTTTCCTCCTCTTCACCTCTCTCTGCGACAGAGAGAATGGTAAAGGACCAGCATTCCATGCAACTCGGCCCACCTTCTTTCTTGGTTTGCTCGGCCTCGCCTTCTGCAGGCTTTGGGGCGGCATCTGACTCTTCGTTGTGAACTGCTTCGGCTACTTCTTGTGGCTTCTCGTCCACCTTTTCCTCACTCTCCTCACCAGCATTGCAGAGCTTGGGCAATAATTTCTGACTATGCTAGAAGTGTCTGCTAAGGGCACATTTCAGCGCAATCAGCCCCTCGTTTCAGTCAGGTCCGGGTCTGCGACTCGCACAGAAGGACACTTCAGATCAAAAGAAAGGCATGAGCTTACAAGTCCCACGTCCAAAAAAGGAGTGGATGGGTGCGTGGCCCCAAACCCTAAAAGGAGTAGCTTGTGCGAGCACGAAAAACTCTGACTCTAACAGGAGTGCCTGGTTCCGTAAACTCCAGTCCTTAGTGAGCAGAAAAAAATGGTTGGGTGTGGAAACCCAAAACCCTGAAAAGAGTGGGTGGGTGCTGAAGCCCAAAATCCCGGAAAGGAGCATGCTCTTGGAAACCCAAAACCTTAAACGGAATAGCTCGTGTAAACACTCAAACCCCCAAAGAGAATCAGTGAGCACGAAACCCAAAACCCTCAAGTGCGAACATCCCAAACTTCCAAACCCTAAAATGAGCACAATGAGTATGTGGGTGCTGAAGCCTCAAACCCACAACTCTTCTTTTCCCAGAGCCCTAAATTCAAACCCTGGATCGAATCCTGGAACTTTGGACTCCGGGCAAGTGCCTGAGATCGAGGTCTTGGGACTCTTCGCTCCACCCTGAGGACAGATTCAAGTCGTTATGGAAAGCCTTTTGACACGTGCCAAAGACATTTGCGGCATGGACAAGTCAGCTTCTCGGACATGGGATTTGAGTTGCTGGCTGGACCACATCCAGCCATTCGGTTGTCCTTAAACGCTCGCCTTAACGTGCGACACTCAGAACCCCTAGCGATGTCGTCGCATATTGTACACAACGAAACTTCCAAGCACGAGGGAGCCACTGCGCTCATTGACGCCTCCAATGATCCAAACTCGATCTTGAGGGTGGTCATCCTGCCACTTTGTGACATTCCGCCTCTGCTCGGAATCGTGCCATCCCTACCGGACTGTGTTTTGCTAGTGGTGCCGTCACAACTGCGGGTCATCCTTCTTCGGGACAGTGACCGCGGTGCAAGCCGCACGCCTAGGATTGACACGGGAATCTGTCTCAGGTGGTGCTTGGGAGGGCTTTCTTGCAATGAGGCTCGCGCCACTCCCTCATTGATGGCCCCGGCTCAAACCACGCCCGTCTTGGTACCGACTGCAGACACGTGCTGTGCCGATCTCAAAGTCTTCGTCCAGCTTTCAAAAAAGCTTGCAAAGTCTGAGCTTTCTGACGCAAGATCCCTTGGCGAGGAAATGACCTCCCGAGAAACAGTGGCTCATGTTGATCGTCACGTCTCCGCCGCAGCAACACTTCGGCAGCTGCATACCGTTCAGACAGGCACTTTTCTCTTATGCTCGCTATCATAGAACCGAATCATGGACCTGGTGCCAAGACAGACCTGTGCCTGTCAAGATCTGTCTGTACTCGACTTATATTCTTCAGACGGCTAGCTTGGAACGCCAAATGCGACCTCTGCAAACAAACCACGATTACCACCGTCAAGTCAAGTACAAGCTGATGGATTTCGCGCAAATAAAATAGGAATCAGAGCCTACACCTGCAGCCACAGTCTAACGATGTCGGAGCGCGTGACTGCAAAATAGGCGCTGAAAGTGTGAAAAGCCACCAGCCATGAACTGTCACGACAAGGCTGTGGCAGTAGTAGCTTGAATCGATAAAAGTATGTACAACTTGCCTTGCGGGTGTGCCGGCCGAAGTGCAAAACCTCAAGAGAAGGGGATCTACATTCGGATACACACGGACTTGTTGCCCTACGGCTACTTATCGTGGAGCGGGACAGTAACAGTCCCGCGTCTGAAGAAGTCAGACTTGAAATACATACATTCGGGCACGATTTGTTGGCATTCGAAGTAGAAGCGCTTCTCATCCGCTGCTCCCATCGAAAAAGTCTTGCGGGGAAGCACACCTTCTTTAACGACCGTCTTCACCAGGTCGTTCTTGTCCATGATAGGCAAAAGGAAAGCCAAAGTTCCGTCCTCCGCTGTCTTTTCTGCAATCACCTCCTCGCCATGCACGTAGTCTACTGAAGCCTTAGGGTTTTCGGCCAGGAAAGGGTCGAGCCAGCTTGTGAGCGTGGCCGCCTCAAGCACAAGGCTGGGGTTCAGGACGGTGAGAACTCCGCTGCTGTGCTTGCTCCGGAACTCGATGTGCTGGGAGCCTTTCTGCTGGGGGGCATTGCGCATACTGTCTGAAATCTGGACAGGGCCACAGCCAAGCTCAAGCAGTTTCCTCTCGAAGTCTGCCAAAGCCTTCTTGACTTCAACGTTGAAAACTAATCGGTGGATGGGCTCAAAAGTCATTCCTGGGTCGTGGATGTTGACCAGCTCCACCAACGCGTGGCGCGCTGGATGATCCTCGGGATCTGCCCCCTTCTTCTTGAGGTTCTCCCAGCACTGCTTAGCTGTGGCTAGCGAGTGATTTCCATCGCCCACCTAGGCAAGCCAAGCTTAGGGCTTAGAGACATCGGGACAAAGCATGCTCGAGTTTCTTGGTGAGCTATCGAACTGGCTCCCTCACACTTTTTCAGAGTCGGGAACTGCATTCGAACCTATGACTTCAGTCTTCACGTGTGCAATCAGTCAAAGGTTCAACAGTAGGCATTGGATCAACGTGGTCGCCGCTGGCAGTATACCCAAACCAGTGTATGCTGCGAGTCTGAGACTGTGTGATGCCGAACCCAGAAATGCCCTACTACAGAAGCCCACCAGCAATAGCAATTAAGTCCCCGGGGCTTTCACCGCAGAATTATTTTCTATGATCGGCAACGGCACTGGGAAAAGAATCACCTCTTGGTCTTTGCTGGCACCATAGCGTTCCACAAAGGCTTCTCGGTTGGCTAAAGCCCGCAGTGCCCGCACCACCCCTTCCACAGCGTCACTCCTGCACAGGCAAGTCTTTCTTAAAAGCCGCATGCTGGGAGACAGAAAGCGGAGAGTCACGGAAACACACGTGCACACACAAACGGAGACACGCAGAAAGACAAACAGAAAGAGTGGATACATCTCAAGTCAGATCTGGAAGTGTCCCACCGGCCTGACCTCAACCGATTAGATTTTCGGCCAGGGTGCTGTGCCACATGATATCCCTTCAGATGTCCGCTGCCTTTCATCAGCTCGAAATCCTTGGAAACCACATCAACAACCTATGAGAGAGGCTTGGAAGCCTTACCGGTGGGGATGCTTAGCCCGTTATGCGTCAGGCATCGTAGAGCTTGGGGAAGTCAGCACATCGGTCGAACAGTGGCTCGATCACTGTCTTCTTCGGGTCGTCAATGAGCACCTGCGAATAGCTGTGAAGCACCCCGAAGCAGCGGCTGGTTTAGTCAGTTCAGTCCAAGGCGGGCACAAGAATGTGAGGCAGCTCGAGGGGCGACTGCTCCCGAATAGCAATGCGCGGTGGGAGCCGTTCAGGAATCGTCTTCCTTGCATGCGAGGCTCTGCCTAATTTGAGTCATGCCCTTCGCAAACAAAGTCTGAAGCATACTTTCCAGTAGGGGAAAGGACAAGCGAGACTCTCGGTGGGACGAATCAAGCTTTGGGAGCCCTTCGCGAAGCTGTACATTTCCAGATCCAGGGCAACCAACAGACCCTTCCGACCTGGGACAGCTGTTGCTGGGAAGTGTCGAAGGGGTATGATGCTTCAGAGATGAAGCTGATGTCAAGCATACGAATACAACAAACAGTTGAGGCCGCAACTGGAGACAACGGGAGTCTTCCGATCCAGCAGGACAAAGCCTGGATGCTGCGGAACCAGAATGCGGTCTCTGTCGTACTCGTGCATTTTGTCCCTGATGCCGCGGATGATCTGTTGATTTGATTTTGCATCACCCAGGTACACCTCCGGAAATATCAAGTTCAGTGTGGACGGACAGTCTCCGACAAGCTGCTTGACGTCTTTCCAGTACTGCGGCTGGGACGTGTACTGGTCGCATGCGACAACGCACCACTTGGTCAGGTCGAGGCCTTTCCGTGGCAGAAGCACTCGGGGAACCTTCAATCCAATATCCGGAAACCGCAATGTGTCCGCACACCTGAACATCTCGTGTCCACTTGGGCCGATACCTATCCTTGTAAGGCTCATGGCCCGACGGGCCAAGTTCAGTACATTTCGCAGGAGAATGGCAAAGGAAATCTGGCCCACACCCCCTGGCACTGGCGTTATCTTGGAGACTTTCTGCAAGGCCTCCTGGAAGCAAACATCCCCAACCATGCGCTGGCCTTTCTGAGCATCAGGGACGACCTCTATTGCAACATGAAATAAAACGAAACACAGACGGAACCGTATACGCACCGCCCGAGTCACAGTCTGCTGCATGTAATCAAACTTTACAACCAAGTGGCATTCATACCAACATCGATCACCACCGCACCGGGCTTGATCCAGTCGCCTCGTACCAGGCCCGGACGTCCAGCACAGGAAATCAAAATGTCCGCTTGCCGGACGTGCTCCTGACAAACATGGTTCAAATTGTGACGGACTTCTTGCGAGAAGCATCAAAAGGTGGGCAAGACTTCCGTGGTGCTCTACTGCATGCTTTGTTGCTGTTACAGCACTCCGCTTCCTGCAAGTTGGCGGTTTGACTGTGGCACGTCGTGACAGTGCAGTCGTGGGCGGTGAGCAGCGCGGCGATGGGAGACCCCACGGTGCTGGAGCGGCCCAGCACCACTGCATGCTTGGAGTGGAGTTCTACCTTAGAAGCGGATAGGAGCCGAGTGGGGGCACGGGCCACAACAAGCGCGCCGCGTGGGTGTGCAGCCGAGGAACCTGGGAACGGAGGAGGAGCTCCATCACGCCCATTGGCACAGTGGGTCGTGCCTCTGGCTCTGCTCCGAACTTGTAGCCTCCTGCAGCCAGGACACGGCCCATGTTGGAGAAGGACAGGCCGTCCACATCCTTTGCTGGACCGATGGCTTGCAGGATGGCGACCTCGTTCAAATGTTGTGGCAAGGGAAGCTCGACCACAATGCCGTGGATGCTGTCATCCGCCATCAGGTCGCTGATGATCTTCAGCAGCCGGCTTTGCTGTACAGTCTCGCTGAAACGCAAGATCTGTGCATGCATGCCGCATCTCTCGGCCATCTTTGCTTTCAGCTCTGCGAAGTTGGACAAATTGATCTTCTGGTCGTCCATTTTCTCTGGCCTCATGCAATCAATGAGCTGGCCGAAGCTGTGATTTCCCACCTGCGCTGCACACGATCGCACACACGCACGGCACACGCGAACACCTCCTTGGGTCGTTTCCTCGCATCTGCGTGCCCGCGGCCTCGATGATGGCGAGGCCTGGGGTCACGCCGTACTTGGCATAGAGCTCCGTGGTAGCCGCCTTCACATCTTCACCTCACGGATCGGGCCGTCCGGGGATGCCGTTCTGAGATTACCACTGACATCTCATCTAGGACTAGCAGGCCGAAGCACTCAAGGCTGCAGCAATGCGGCGCCCATCGATGATCTTCGCGTCGTCGGCTTTCCGGGGGCTGCGGCTACGATCTTGCGAACCTGGCGAAAGTGGAGCTCGGCATGCTGACGTACTTAGGTGTAGTTGCTGCTCGGCGAACAGCACACATCTTTGAGTTCTGCTGCGCCTGCGACCACCATGCCGGACAACCAAAGCTCCAAGCACAGTCCAACTACTCCGTGCCTGTGTTGAGCCCTATTGCGCGGTCTAGACTCAAGCCAACTCTTAGTCTCAGGCAGGCGCCCGCAAGCAGCCCTCCAACATGCTATCAGTGGCTGACTCGCCATGAGATGGAAAGCATTTCCTCCTCTTCGTGGCCATGTATACTGATTGATACGGATCTCAGTGCCCATCACTGCTGCACTGCCATTACTGGCCTCGTCTTCGTTCTCGCTGTTCAAGCTCGTCCGCCTGGAAAGGTAAGCATTCAGCTTGATCAAAGTGATGCCGACAAAAGCTGTGGCCTGACTTCCGTCGGCTCCTCACAATGGCCCCAGGTTCCCAGAGTTTGCTCGGAATTGAACATTGCGACTCATCTGCCGTCTGCAGTCTTCAGGAAGGCTGCACTCCTTTCGACAGTCGGAAGCATAGGCAACTGACTTGAGTTGGAACAAATCGAGTATCTCGGTGGAGTTGACACCTAAGCTCCCCATCACTCCTTCGCATGACGGAATGCTCAGGCACTCGACTGACTCAGCTGCAGGCTCGTGAACCTGGTTTGGCTGCTGGACTAGATGCATGGAACGAATCGCATGGAAGCTTTTGAAACATGCCCGGTTTTCTCGTCAAACCTCCGATGGGTGAGAAGCCACGGCTGCACAAAAAAAATGGAGTTCTGCCGGCCACGGTGCCTACGCCCTTGTCAACGCGTCTGAGTGCACCACCCACCAGCAACGATGAGGTGCCTTTCGCCATACCTGCAGCCACTGCGCCAAAGCCAAGCTTGGGGGCCGAAGCGCAAAAAAAGCCCTCCAAATTTTCTGTGGCGGGCATCGCTGCAGCACAGCAGGCCCTCCGTGAGCGGAGCTTTGGTCCGGGCCGGGCCGTGTCTGCCTCATCTTCACCGAGACTTCGGTTTGGGATGCTTGGGGTGGTAGCACGGTGGGACGCATTCAGAATCGTCGGGCATGAGGGCAAAGTTTGCGTGTCTACCCGCTGCAGTATATCTGGTCATCCTCTTTCCTCCTCCTGTTCTGATCCTGCTCTGCATCTTTTTCGTCACCCCAATGATCACCGCCACCTGTGTCATCATCCTTCTCATTCGATGTCACTGGCTGGTGCCACCGCTTGTACTGCTACGGCTGCCACCCCGAGAGTGAATGTAGGAGGAGTATCCACAAGCAGCACTTCTCCTGCCCTGATGACTGCATGAACAAGAGGGGGCGGGCCGGGACGGGCGGAAGGTGCCCCACGCCTGGACACTCAGGACCTCCGTGCTCTGTCCAGCATCTGCGCCATAGCCACCGATGACCATGACCTCAAACTTAGGTCTCTCGGGAGTGCAGCGAATCATGGCGAGGCAATGTTGGAACTGACACCTCCTTGCTGCAGCTTGGCTCCCTGGCCCAGGGCATCCAAACCTCCTCTTCCTGGTCCTCGTCTTCCCCCTCCACCCTCAGTCACACGGATGGTGTGCAAGCAGGGGAAGCAAGCACCCTCTGGGCATCGAGCTCTGGCTCCTCATCTTGAATGGGAAGCGGCAAGGCGACCGCAGCGCAGCCTGCCCGTGGCATCGTCCTTGGCAGACAGTCATCGCATCTTCTCGCAAATCAGTACTCCGCCTTGAGCTGCTGACAGGCGCGGTCCAAAAGACACCTCTCCAGTCACGATGTCCACGACCCTGACAAGTTAGTGAGTTCTCTCGGCCCTTGCACGCCGACAGTCCTGGCAAGCGCGCTCGGTTGTGTCCACGGCCAAACCAAATTCGTCGAAGCCACCGACCTGTTGTGGTGTCGATCGTTCATCACAGTGCCGAGTGGCGGTTACCACTTGCACACCTCTTCTGAAGCTACCAGGCTTCTGCGGTTTGCTTCACCGGGTGCCACGCCACCAGAATCCGCCCATCACCCAAACAAGCAGCCTGATGCTCACTAACTCACTAATGGGCAGGGATCAGCTCCCTCAACAGGAATCGACTGAATGTCTCCTGAGCCTGGGGCACTACAGTTCCAGCGTGGTGACGCCTATCTTTTGAATGATCACTTTTCCCAAACCAGGATCATCAATGACTGTCGGGAAACCCAACAGAAGCCAAAAAAGCTTTCAGTCCACTCCGGGCTTAGGTCAGGGCTAAGGAAGGCCCCGAGAACCAATACTGCGAGGGCCTGCCATTTGGTGTGCAAAGTGAGTTGAGTTTCGCATAATGATGACTGACTTAATGTTAGTTAGCCAATATTAGTCTGAATATATTTACGATGAAGACCAGCGTGTTTCTTGTTGCGCCCCCGCCTGGCTAGGAGCTTAATTGATGTTAAACCAATATCAGTCAAGCACCAATGATCCACTCAGTCTAACATGGTGGAAGAAACAAGACAGCAGTGCTCACGCTTGCCCGAGGCCACCCAGTAGGTGCGTCGACAATCGTCCGCCTGGCTCAACTTGAAATTGACCCTGGACTTGAAACCCTGCGAGGCTGTAGTGCACTGAACTAGCATGTTACGCCAAGCAACACCGACGGTCCTCCAGAAGTAGCATCTCGCCATGACACCGGCCATTCACACCTGCAAGTTGCGTTCGCAAGCAAAAACTAACTGTTGCCAACCAACAGGCTGTTGCCAAAACAATCGGCACCCTTCAGGCCTGCAATTCCGGCGCAAATGCTCCCCGAAGTTTCCAGCCGCTTCAGCAACTGTCAACACTTGGTAAAACAGCAAAATCAAACACCCTTCGACCATCCAGCATCCCAATTGCCTCCTCTTGACGCAATCGCTCCTGCCCAATGCAGAAGCCCAACCAGCAACAGCCTGCTTGCATTGCGAGGCTCGTCCTCTTCCTGCAATCGCCTCTCCTGCGTGTTGCGGCTGCTGCATAATCAGAAGCTGGCCCTTGATGTAACGTCAGCGTTCGATGCCTTTTCCTCGGGATCTTCCTCAGGCGGCCTCTGCGCGGGGTCGAGGCGATGCGGGAGAATAGCTCAGAGCGCAAATCCAACGTTGGGGCCAGGGCTGTGCCGGTGCCAGCTCCTGGAGAGAACCCGAACCCCAAGCAAAAATGGTTGAGAGTTGTCCAAAATGCCTGCACCGCCATCTAGGCATACATGGTCCCGCGTCGCCGCGTCACTGGCCCCCCCACCACTCCCCCTGGTATGCCCCTCCCCCTCCCTCGAATTGGCTCGTCTGCATCATCATCTTCATCATCGTAACTGTGCACGTTTTTTTGGGCACTCTCGCGCAATCTTCCCAACATTGTGGCCGTGAATCAGGCGACCCCGCTCCCTCCCGTCTGGTCTTGGGGACCGCATGTTCTTCACGTCTATTTAGCCTTCCTGACTTGATGCTCTTGCGCACCTTGTATCGGCCATTGACATTCCATGCTAAGTTTCGGTTGGGTTCGTGAAAAGTAAGCCTCAGCACGTGTTTAAATGATGGGGATCATGATCACCATCTTCGTCATCATCGTCATTATCATTTGCTTTGGAGTTCAGAGCAGGTCGTGGACCTACATCAAATCCTAAGTTTTCGGACCCCAGGGGGTGGAAGGGGGCGCAGCCAACCACAATCACAGGGCGGACACCGTAGGGAAACAGGGGGGGGGGGGGGCTTAGCAGCGCTGCACCACAACTCTGACACTTCGTCTCCATATGTAACTGAACGTTAGACCACACCCGCCTGCCGCTCTGTCCGTGATACTACAAGCACGTATCACAACCCGCAGTTTTGTCAGCTGCTCTCAAACATCCACTGTGCCACTGCTCCCTCCAATGCGAGTAATGCAACTGTAGAGCTGTGGCCGTTAAGCTGTGAAGGACAAGGAATACCTCGGACGTGTGGAAGTTTGCAACTGCTCAAGCAAGCAGCCCTCAAACGCCACTGCTGTGTTGGCTTGGGGGTTGTTAGTCACGGGTTCTGGAAAAGCCCAACCCCTTTCGCAGCGCAATGGCATGAACATCGCGAGTCGTGGTGTTTGAACAAGCCTGACCGAGATTCGCGCTCGTCCAGTTCTGCTAATAGCACAGTTCGAATTGTCGGCAACAATCTGGCCTTTGAGGAGACTTTTGAGGAGGACTTGGACATCACGGGCCTTCCATGGAGGCAAACCTCCTCAGATCTCAGGTGTGAAGGCAAGCTACGTACCATACTGGACCATACTCCGAAAAATATTTTTGCATCAGGTGGCCTGAGCTCGCGGCGACTCCGTGCTCGAAGCTCAGACCATTGGAACTGTGCCGAAATGCTGCAGAAACTCTATCCCTCGGCTGATGATATTCCTTCGCAAGTGCAGGGGATGGCGCAAACAGGCGCACGTTATGGCAGATTTGAAGCTGGTACCGATCGACCGGGGAGGTGTCGCCCTACGAAGCGGCGATAGCATACCGCCGACTACAGCGGTTTGTTGTTACAGTGTTTGGATCTGTCAGGCTAGGGCGGCATGCTATCCCCAAATTGATCTGCTCACAGTGAGGCTCAGGCCAAGACCGCTTCCGTCAACCGACTACAGCCGGATGATGATGTCCGGCACCGAGAAGATTCAAGTCTTCGGCCTTCAATGCACCCGACCTTAACGTCGTACCCCGTCTCGTGCTGGTTGATGCCGTGGTCGTGAGAGCACGCAGCCGGAAGTGAATGCCGCTTGCCGATAACCACGGATTGGCAGAGTCTCTGCAAACTCCAGCCCCCGACGCAACATGGTTCACAATGTCACACCTTGCTGTCCAACAGTTCGCGGATCGGCCCGCCATCTGGAAATCGCTCTGTGGCGAGTGCCCGTGGAGTCACGAAGGATGCAGCCTGCTTCAGCCTCGCATCGGAAAACAAACATGGGCTTGTCATGGCTTTCCGTTGGACTTGACTTGCACAAACTAAAAAGCCATGGCTCTTGATTAGACAGCAGGCGATTAGTTCATGAGTTTTGAATTCCTTGACCTCGCGAGCTTCTGGTCTTGTGTCACACAGCCCTAACTCTGCTATCACGCGGCACTCGGTGTGGAAGGTTTCCGCAAGCTTCTGTAGCAATGAAGAATCGACCAGCATGTTCACCCACAGTGCCAGAGGTTCGTGCACCAGCTTCCACCAACACCTGCGAACTAGCCAGGCTGGGTGCCTTGAAGTCAAGATATTCGTGCGGTTCACTCCGTCTGCAAGTTCTCACGGCCTGACACACCTCCACATGGCCGTGGAAGACCGCCCAGTGAAGTGCTGTTCGATTCCAGCGGTCCAGCCAATCAGCTCCAGCATCACCTCTTATCGCTCACCACAGGCTACTGCCGCTACTTGTGTAATCTGACTATGAACTCTCCACCTTCATTCCGCTACAGAACTTCTCGCGACCCTCTCGCCTTGGAGCAGTGCGGTCGTGGTGGCAGGGTTGCCGGCTTTGGCTGCTGCATGAAGCGAGGTACTGCGGCTCGCTGTGTCCTTGTAAGAAAATGCCGGTTCTGAGACGCTCTGTTTCGGTCCTAAACGGGGGCAGCCCTTAGCCTGGGGCTGCTGCCGTTGCTTCCACATCAGCCCTGGCCTGGCACCAGGGCCGGAGAAAAGAGACACGGCTCTGAGGCAACGTGCACAACGCCAATCCTCGAGCAGCAACTCTACCATCCGCTGGCCACAGCGCTCTGCAGCTTTGAGAAGCGTAGGCGTGCCATGGGCCTCAAGGACAACCACAACTCGTAAGTAGCCGGGACTTGCACAGGATGCGGCTTCGGTACATCCCGTTGCTGTGGATGTGCGCGGTGCTGGAGCAGCTCTTCAGCGCAGCATACGTGGTTCCCCATCACAGCCTGAGAGCATCCCGCCAGGCCGATGGAGCCAGAATCGCTGCAACTTTTGCACTTGTTTGCCATAAGCTTGTGGCCAGAATCAAGGGCGTCGAGCCGTGTCTGGCATAGTGTCCATGTAATGTGCCTCGCCAGAGACATCGGCGAAAGGTGGGACGTTGGCATCCAGCCGGGCCTCCTTCCACAGGCGCCCCTTCCCGAAGCAGCCTTGGCTTCAAGACACTTCACTTCTTGTGGCACTTCTAGAGACACAGCAGGAAACAACATGTACGCTACAAATCTGCCGTTGAACACGAGGAGGAGTCTTCTTCCGACGCGACGAGGAGCAAGCGTACCAGAGGCACGAGGCCGGCCTCAGCGGCACGGCCTTAGGGAAAAAGCAGAAGTCTCAGGTCTCAGATATTCTCAGATGGTCGCAGGTCGAAAGCAGGGGAGGTCAGAGGCATTGTGTCGAGGTGCAGAGCAGCTGCTCGGCGGTGTCTTCGGGAACCTGCAAGAAACTCGGCTACTCAGCCTGACAGTCGGCCTCCTCGGACTTGACAGATGGCTTACTTGCGCCTGGAGCTAGGCAATCCTCGGTCTACACAACCCGTTCCCGGGCCCGAGATGCCTGGATTCTCGAAACGGTCCTTACCCTTACCGGCTTACCGGGCAGCTTCCCACTTTGCCGGGCAGCTTGCTCCCACGCACCATGGTCCAGCTCAGGATCTCGATCGCCGCGCTGGACCTTGTGCTTCACGTAATTGATCCGCAGTTCCGCAACGTCCTCCTGCACTGCGCTTGGCTACGTGGCAAACGCGCGCGAGGACCCGACACACTTGTTCTCCGAATTCCATCCAAAGGTTTTTCCCGAATGCCGCTTCCTCGCTGATCTTCTCCTCCATACAAGCATCCGTGCCCGGGAAGCGGACGCCACCTCGAGCCAGCATCTGGCAGTAGATTCGTAGCCGGGGCGAGTGGATCAGCTTCTCTGGGGACAGGATGATGCCCAGAGGGCTCGCGGGGCTCGCCTGGGCACTGGCAGATTACTGTTTGGGTACGACACATTTGACATGAAGCTCTCGCTCTCTCCTTGCCACGCCATCTGCACCTGTGCTTTATACCTCTGCGCCCTTCGCTGCTGAGGACCTGTCATCTTGCCCGGCAGCGGTGGCCAATGCAACCAGGCGCCGGGAGACCTGATCCAGAGGTCCTACACTCCTACACCCTACACTGCTACATGCGACTCCAGTACAAAGCAGCCACGCCCAGCAGCAGAAAACAAGGCCAACACAAGCGACGACGACAACTACCTATTGCAATGTGGATAGCAGATCTTGCGACAGGTTTGGACATCACGCTCGGCACACCCACGCGAGGAAACCACAGAGAGTCCACGGTCTCAAGTCTTTCTAGCTATGCAGCAGCAATCCTCGAAACAGGTCATGAGTATTTCCGAAACGAGTGATCTCTCAGTGCCTTGCTAATCACGCAGCCACACAACGCAAGATTGCCATCCTATCACTCCTGCACCTACCTGTGACCTTACGGACCAAAGGTCCAAGGTCCTGGATCTCACCCACTGCAGAACGGGCTCAAATTCCAAACCCAGTTCGTAGGCAGAAGGAGTGCCTTGCTACTGCTACGGCGTACGGTCACCGTACCATATCTCTGGATGAGTCTTATCTTAACTCTCGCGCTGTGACCTTTACCAGACTTGTGATGCAAGAACCCATGAAGGGGAATCTAAGTCCCCACATATCCCCACATCTTCAGAGGAAGCCTGCAGCACCGACATGGAATGCCCTCCCAGTGCGAGGAAGTGGTCGTTCGGCCCGACTCCCGACCGCTTCAGCACTTCCTTGGCCGAAGACAAGCATCCAGAATGGAAAAAACCTGGAGTTGCGCAGCCTCTGGTTGCGTAGGTCTGGGCCTTCCGCAAACCCTCTCGTTGCTACATTTTGATAGCGCGCGTTGCCTCCCACACGCCGGCCACCACGCGCTCGAGAGCTGTCAGAGATGACGACGACGTGCAGGAGACGTCCACGCTCTCCGGCAAGGCTTTTGAGTCAACCTTCCTTCCAAGAGACGGCAGGAACACATCTCGGGCCTCTCGCGGCCATATATCTCGCGGCTCTGAGGTTGGGGCCCATTCTGCGTCAGAGGGAGTCGCTGCATCAGCACGAATCGACTCGGAAGCATGTGCCGCGGCAGCTCCGTGCTGGAACGCGTGAGAAGGAAGTCGCTGACCACCGGCAGCACGCCTTTGAAACAGATGCAGCGCAAGACATCGTTTGATCCGCTAGGAAACCGCAGGCCGTCCTAAGGTCTCCAAGTGCTTCTGGGAAGCAGTAGGGCTCATGCAACATGACAGCCGCATCGACAGACACCTGGACGAAATGAAACGATGGCACGACAGCCGGCGGGTGGAGGCTTCGCTGCTCATTTTTCGACTCTTCCCGTCCTGGCAGTAGGCCACCAAGAAGCCGTCACGAAGCTTCACCGAGCAGTTGGCGATGATACCAGACGAAGTCTGCACGACCGCCGACTCAATTTCACCAAGCTCGACGCGCATTCCACGAATTTTGACTTGGTTGTCGAACCTCCCCATAACCTCAAGCTCTCCATCCAAAAGCCGCCCACCATCGCCGGTTCGATACCATCTGCCCGGCAGGTTCGGGAGCTCAACGAACTTTGCAGCTGTGAGTTCCGGTCGGTTGTGGTATCCTAGCAGACGGTCAATTCGAACAGATTGCAAATTTCCCCCCTGCAGCAACTGCTCGTTCAGGTTCTTACCAGGGTGCCAATGCCCACTTGGACACCGCCCTGAACGATCTCACCAACTTCCTCGTCCTTCTGCAATGCCAATCCGTCACGTTCCTAGGGGCAGAGTCCAGCCGCATTGCGGTATTATTGAGCACGCTGCACCCTCCCGGATCAATCTAAGAGTTCTTTTGGGGACTGCCGGGAGTCGAAGATCCGCACCTCATTGCCAGGATAGGGGCGCCCCACCAATGTCGCACGATCTCCAGGCAGCATGTGGCGTAGGGTCTGCCAAACCGTGCCTGTTGTCTGTGAAGCGAAAACCACGCGATCAAAGACGTGAGAGGATGCGAGAGGCACTTCGATAAGCTTGGCTTATGCCGAGGTGCACTCTGTCGTTCCATAAGTGTTCAAGAGTTGAAGGGCCGGTGCCCACTGATCGAGCAAAGGTTGAGGGGCGCGCTCCCCTCCAAGGCAAACGCTAGTGAGACTCGGCAAATCCATGCCATTCCTGCAGGGAAGGAGTATCCACATGCCCTGCAGACTTCTAGCTGAACTGTGAAAAGCTGCTTAATTCCTCGACAAAGCGCTCAAGAGACTGCCATAGAGATGGAGTGCAGGTTACGTGTGTTACCTCGAGACGGTCGATGGCCCAGCCCAGGTTTGCAAAGAACAGCATACGGGGTGCCACGGCCACAGCACCCCCAACGGCCCAGGTTGCAAAAATGTCTCCTGAGCCGTTAGTGGTATCCGCCAGCGTCGGCTCACATGCTTAAAAAGCAAAGCCGAGAGGCCGATAGATGGATCGAAGGTCGAGGCCGATGCAATCAGCACTACACTTGATGAGCAGATGGACTGAGGCGGATTCTTGACTTTGCACCTCGAGCAAAGGCACCGCACAGTACCGAACCACAAAGGGTGATCAAGCCTAAGCGTTTCAGGCGAAGGCACCAGTTGCAGAACGCCTGGTGAGAGATCAAAACTCCTTTCGGTTGACCTGTCGAGCCACTTGTGAACCACCTTAGACATCTGCCGTACTTTCGGCGGCTAACAAGATACTATAAGATACTCATCGCCATCACGGCATGGTGTCAAGATGTGTCAAGGCGCATGTAGGCCGGAGAGGTCGGGTCCAGGGCCGTGAGGGGCTGAGACTCGAGAGAGCCAAACTCTGAGCTCAAGGGAACTTCCTTGCTCAGGTCCAAGACCGGGCCGACCTCTGCGAGCTTCCTGGGTCACAGCATTGGTCACAGCATGTCACAATCCCTGAGGCCCTGACTCAAAGCCAAGCGTCTTGGCATCGCCCCAGTCTTTCGTGACGAGGCAAGTTGCTTGCGACTCTTTGGCCACATGGCTGAGGCGGGAAACCGGATCGTGTGGGTCCAGTGGCACCAGCACCATGCCCCTGCCAGATGCGGAGAGGCTGTCAGAAGCTTGTGCGATCCTGGGGCGTGCCTTCTCCATCCTGCGAGCTCTGCAAGGGCCAGGTATGGCCCATCATCAATGGCGACACCCAGGACACCTCCTTGCAAACGGTCGGCGATGAGGCCACTGAGCTGCCACACCTGTCCAAACGGGACAATGACGTTTAATGCCCTGACGAGGTCGCGGCTGTGCCTGGCGATATGTCAGGCACCCCAGTGTTCTGTCTGTGGTCAGGAAGCGTAGGGCTGGCTGATCTGGACAGGAGGCCAGCGACTGCTGCACCAATGCCAGCGCAGTCATGTAACACTGTAGGACTCCGCATGGGGCATCTAGGGTGGCAGCGTGTATGCCGGCTGTGAAACGCTCGTTCCGTGTTCCAATGGCTCCTCCTCCGTCGCACGTGTAGAATCAGCTAGGGGGTTTGCACGCGTGCTTCCGAGTAGAAGTCCTGTCGTGTCAAACCGAATCTGCATCGACTAATGTGTCTAATGAGGTGGCGGCTATGTTGACAACTGACAGGAAGCTTCCAGCAATCCACCGCTCACAAATAGCGAGAGCATGGGACATGATACCGCTTTTTGCTGGTTTTGTCCGCGCCCGTCTAAGCTGGTCATCGCTATGTACTGGTGGTCAGTTTCGTTCTTCCTCAACTGCAAAACACCTCAGCTGCCACATTTCTCGGCTTGTGTGCAGTGCTCTCACCCTTCACACTCTGCGACTGCGCCTGATGATAGCGATCCAGAATGGCTGCATCCTGGAGTGTCGCTGCTTCCGGGAAACTGGGAAAAGCGAACAAAAATTCAAGTTGGCCAAAAGCTTGGCCCCTGGCGACATTTCGTTTGCCAGCCATCGCCTGCTCTGGAGGACAGGCTACTTCATCCCTCGCCCATGCTCTGCCCAAAGACTGCGAGCTAGCACGGGGCCTCTCGCAGTCTTGCTGGCGAAATGGACGGGGAAAGCCTCAGTCCTGGCACTTTTTGCTGTTCAGGATGCTTTCCGGGCCCTGGGCTCGTCCTCCGGGAGCGGGTGCAGGAACTTCAGCTCCCGAATCGGAGCTGCTCACCTCCTCCGCGTGGCGAAAACTTCGTTGCAGCGGGCATAGCTCATAGGTCTGGCTTGTTGGCACCGAGTCTGCCAAGTCGGCTGGCGCTCGTCAACAGTCAGGGCTTTCGATGCCACGGAAATGCAAGAAAGATGGCAGAAGCGGCACTAAAGGTGCATGCAACGACTTGGGATTACAAGGCTTCCTGTCAACTTGGCTAATTGGACATCGCTACCATATGTACACTGCAACTCACAGGCTTCCTGTGGGCTAAGTTTCGCTTTCAGCTGCCGCGAGCAGCTTCGGTTGGTTTCTCATCACCGCGATGTCCCTCTGAGGTTGAGGCACTGCTGCTGCTCTCCACCTTCTTGACAACAGCCGGCGGCCTCAATTAATGCTACTTGTAGATCTACAGTAACATAGGGCCACGGCATGATGTGGCAGCGCTTCATCACGAGGCTTGGAAGATCAGTGGCTTGGCACTTCGTTCGCATTTCTGAAATTTTCGCCCGCCATCGGGTCAAACGGCCCGTCCAAGAATTACCCTGTCCAACATCAACCCCCATAGCACCGAGTCGAGAGATTTTAGCGCTCTCGGGCTTGCTACCATGCGTAATCGATGATGGTGCATCTGAGTCTAGGCATGTCTAGGCTGCGCACTTGGCCACTGCAACTGGTGCCTTCCTGAGTCTGGTCGCTCAGAAGCTGGCAGCACTGCAACTTTGCAATCACTTGGGGGCTGACGCCGAGGGGGGTAAAGGCAAAGCAACCTCTTCGCTCTCGGAGAGCTCGGAGGAAGTGTAGGATGAGGAGTTTTCGGGACCGACATCCAACACCGGACAGGTGCTGGTATCTTCTTTCTCTTTGCCGCCTGGATCAGAGTCGCCATTCAGAAGCAATCAGAAGCCCGGCGGCAAAATGGCCTTTGGCAGGCTTGCGGTTAAAGGCCTCAGTGGATCTCTGCACTGCGATTCCCTTTTCTGAGGCCTAAGAGGAGCGTCTAGGCACCAGACTGGCGTCGCCATCTTTGGGACCGCCGGGGGCGCCTGGCCAGCCTTCGCCGCAGGCCTCTTCGGAAAAGAAGGCGACCTGAAGCTCGCTTGCCGCTTGCAACGACCACATGGTGACCGCGTGATTCTGGTGCCAAGGGGCCAGGACCCGGGTGGTGGAGCCAGCGGACGTGCGAGCGGCCGAGGACCTGCCACTGTTGGCTCTAACAGGTGTCTGACAAAGCCCGCTTATGGAGCGGATTCCGCGGCCTGGTGCGAAGTCACCAGGTGGCGGCGCGAGGATCGGCCGAGGCCGGCCGGGTCCGCTAGGTGGACCCGGAGCGGGTCGGCCCATGTGCGTGGCTACAGGTGCCACCGGGGCCGCTGTGGCTGTGGGGGAAGCAGGTGCCGCCGAGGCAAGTGTAGTTGCTGGTGGCGCAGGAGCCGAGGACTTCTTCGCAAAACCTTTCCGGCCTCATTCCGATGCAATCAACAAAGAGTCTGCTCAGATGTGCTGCACCGAGTTTCGGTTGCCCAGGCGACAAGCCAAACCAGTCGTGCTCTGAAGAGGAACATAAGGAACAAAGGGCCGAGCCAGAAGCTTCCGACTACCGAGATCTACCGAGGCCAGGGCTCGCAGCTGAGTCCTGCTGGACTCTCGCTTTAACAAATTCAAGCACGGTCCTTCTAGTCTAGCAGTCTGGCACACTTTTCACCAGGATTGATAAGTTTCTAGCTGGATTGATGCAGGTCGAACGTATCAAAGTGGCAAGAGTGCCTGGATGTATATGCACAGACAATAGCGTGGGGGCCAAGTCCCATTTTTTTGCTTCGGGACTCCATGGATTTGCCTCCCATGCACTTTACAGTCACAGAGTGCGGCTCCGGCGCAGCTTTTGCTTGTGACTCTGGTTCCGTCCTCAAGGCACTGGATGACAGGGTACTCCCCGCAAATGTTGCAGGAGGCTGCTAAGGTAACCCAGTGACGCGGCAACCAACACTGAAGTGCACTGCAAATGAGCGTCTCTCGAACAGTCTCTTTCACAGCAGGGATTGCAGTCTGCCTCACTTCCAGGACAAGTCCACATTCACATGATGCCCCTCACAGGCAAAGAGTTGTGGCCTTGTCTCCTCAGCTTTGCCGGCTTTTCCAGCTGCTGGTTTTCGACCTCGAGAATTTCCGACTGAAGTGTTATCTACCGAGAAACATGCGATCCATGTTGGGCAACAACAACAGCAGATTAAACCGAGACTTCAGCCACAGTCACACGACTGGCAGGAGTGACCGATTTTGTTATCGACCGTCTGGATACGCGCTGTCCTACGTCCTTCCTTCCTTCCTTCCTTCCTTCCTTCCTTACTTCCTTTCCTTCGTGCGCGAACTTGCCTAGCGCCGTGAAGCTTATCCAAATGGCTCTTTCAAAAGCAGTCAGCTCCTTCTTCCTCACAACGCCGTCTTCCTTCCTTCCTTCCTTCCTCTAACCTGAGCCGCGTCTAGAGCGATGGGCCCCCGAACCCGATCTTCCACCAGGTGCTTCATCCGTTGATGCTGGCTCGTGGCACTAGCAGCTCACTCGCACTGACGTTCGCACTATGTGCACATTCAGTCGGTGATATGTTCACTGTCTCCGAGGCTCAGATTACATGGGGATACTCATTACTCGCAGGGCCAATCCGTGCTGTCGATACAAACGGACTTTGCTAGTGGCCGTACTGCAGTGGCATCCAGGCATCTGCAGCCACAACGTCAAAGCAAACAGCAGCACCAGTGATGTGATCTCGGACCGCCGCGGCGGCTTTCCTGCCTTCTGTCTCGCCGCTCCTAGCAAGGTCGAGCAAGAAGTCTCACATGCCAAGCCACGCTGAGTCTTGTCGAGTCTCTGCTGAGCTCTCGACACGATCACGCCTCCGATCGCGGCGTTTTTCGCGGTCACGGCGGCCCTGGCACATGCTCTGTGGGATGCTTCCGCACTTTTCGACCCAATGCTTCCACCTCGTGTTTGCGCCGACCGGTCCGACCCGAGCGGTGACGTCTGCGTCCTCGCAGGACGGATTGCAGCTCTGGATGGCTCTGCCACTAGCAACATAGTCTCCGTCTGAACCCTGACTCTCCAGCGCGACGGCCATGTCCAACTCGAGCATTGCTGGCACTCTCCTTATCGGCAGGTTTGACAATCGAAAAGCTTGTGCCAGAACATGGCTCTGAGCCAGCAGAGGCCGCAGCGCTGGCGCTCTCACTCTGGCTTTCTTCCGACTTGTCATCTTCCAGAGCCGCAAGCCTCAAGCTGCTATTCCTACGTTCTGTTATGTAGATTGAAGCACGGCTCTACAGCGAGGGTCAGACAGCCAACGTGCCCATGCCAAGCAAGTGGCTGGGGCACGAACTTTGGCTCTTCGCCATATTTTTCACAGATCAAGCGATAAAGTTCTCTCTCCTGGCCCTGGCATGGCTAGAGAAACGAATGGTAATAGTTGCGGCCGCTGAAGTGGGAGATTCGAGAATTCCGAAAAGTGAAGACTAGCTGGGCATGATTTTGGATCCGGCCTGGTACTTGGCCAGAAGGTCCTTGACTTCACTTAGCTTGGCCGGATTGCGCCGGTTGTACACATCTCGGATCAACTCCACGATCTTTGTCAAGGAGAACTGGCCGTGCACAACCCAGCCATAAAGTTGCTCCGTCATTGGATTTCCGGCCTTGTCGGCTTTCTTCTCTGTCTTGCTGTCCTCGTCTCGCTCCTCTTCCTCCTCCGCACCTTCGGCATCATCGCCGTCCTTGTCCTCCTCGTGCTTGTCCTCCCCTTCCATTTTGTCGTCCTGTCGGTGAAACATCCCTCGAGCTGGCAATTGCAGAACAGGAAACGTGACATGTCGCCTCCTGTTCGTCTGCAACATCTTCGTCCTCCGCCTCTCCTTGCTGGGCGTCAGCTCCAGTCTGGATTGCCTCAGTAACAGGCGAAGATGGCTTAGTTGCCAATTTATGGGCTCTCAAGGGCGGGAATGTTGGACAGTTGGAACGCTGCAAAGCCCGCGTGGAAGCACATTGCTCGCAGGCCCCGGCTTCATCATCCTCCTCATCATCATTCTGCTCTCCGTCTTTGGCATCCTGCGTTGGTCTGGAGAACCGCCGCAAGGGTTAGAGTAGCCATGTCTCACCTACTCCAAACGTCTAGAAGCAGATCAGACTTGAGTCTTGAGAACCCCCCCTCCAGCCTCAGCTTCACTATCCTTCTGCTCCTTCTCGTCCTGCTGGGCCTCGCCTTCGTGGTATCACACAGTCCAAACAAGCTGCAGTAGTCTGTGATCCCGTGGACTCAATCTCCCAGGAAATGAGGGACAGCGGGAGGAGCATAGTGATTATGACGAAGAGTGCCGCTCGTACCGGTGAGGCTAGGATGAAGACGAACAGGTACTCACTACTGTCGTCACCGCTGTGGTCGTTACCTCTAGCTGATCAGCTTAAGTGGTATAGTACACTGCATTGTAAGTGATAGCCAAGCACTGGCACTGGTCCTCTGCTGGGCTGCGGGCTTTCAGAATGCTGCGACGCTTGCTCGGGCTCAAGGTCTGCCACGCCCTGAGCGCTCTGGCTTTCAGGGTTCAGGGTTTGGGATTCAAGGCTTATAGGATCTTACAGGGTTTACAGGCTTCGGGCCGGCTTTCTCAGGCCTTTATGGCCTTTGTTTCTCGAGCATTCCGCCTGTAGGGCTTACTGCCATTGCCTTTCACACCGGTTCGTGGGCGTGGAAATGAAGCCTTCAGTCCCACTATGCTAGCATAAGCACCAACTCAACATCGTTCAAGCACGGCCTGCTCCACCAAACCGAGAACATCAAGGGCAACAAACAAAGTTGGCTCACGAAGGCAAAGAAGATGGGACGCCAACAACTACAAAAACCCCGACTTGGACTCGCCTTCTGCTGGCTCTGCTCCAGCGGACGTCGCTTGGGCGCTGCCTTTGCTTTTGTTCCAGGAGTCGGAAGACCTCGAGCAGAAACATCTGGAGCTGCTCCCCTTCAAAGCTAGGGAGGATGCCTATGCAAAAGGCAAGCTGAGGTCGCAGCCTGGGGCGACGAGGGGAGCTGGGGCTGGCTCCTTTTGTCAAAAGCCCGACATGGCGGAAAAATTGACAGCTGAAGGGCGCAACAACAAGCACTGCAGTAGTTGTTTTCACGGCACGGTCACCCTCCTGATGCTCCTCTTCGTTTTCCTCTGGCTCGCTGCTCTTCTCTTGACCCTCCCTTTCCGATTCTCCCTTGTCTTCCTCAACTTCTGGAGACTCGCCTGCTTTTCCGTCTTCAACCTGGGCCGTATCTGATCGGTGCGGAAAAGGGGAAGCTGCGTCGCTTCGCCGAGCTGCCTCCGCCTCCGCTTGCTCTTGACTCTTCCGGTCCTCACTGTCGACTTCTTTTGTCTCCGGCGCCTCGTCGCCATCCTCTCCTTCCACCTTGGCCTGCGCGTGCTCGGCCTTCGGTACGCGCCTTCGGCGCTTGCGCTTCACCCTCCGCACGCCAGTTCGGTGCCTGTGCCGCTGATGTTGTTACATGTCTTACCGTCTTACCAGTGTAGAACAGCTCGGCTGCTGCCAAAGCACTCCGGAGCCGCCGCTCCTTCCCCAGGGCTGCGGACTTTTCGCTTCTTCTTGCGGCCTTGAAGCTGGCATGACACGACAGCGCCGGGCCGAGCAAGTGTTCTTGAGTTCACAAACTGATTCTTGTTTGTGCATTTACTGCGAGATCGAGCAGCTCTTGGCATTGATGCTGTTTCATTGTTGAATGAAAGCAGTGACAAACATCAATATTTGTGCTTGCATTGTTGAATGAAAAACTGCGGATTAAAAACTAAAAACTAGACTGTGCAAAGACTTGAATCGTGCCGCTTCCGTTGTTGAATGAAAGCTGTGGAAAAACTTCCATGTCTTGCTGCTTCCAGCTGCATAGACCATGTTGTGTGGATCTGAGATGCTGGCTGGGCTCTTCTTCTCGCTTACTTTCTTCAACCTGTCGAAGTTTGGAACCCTCTGGGCAACCCCGGCCACTCGCAGAGTTTGCCTCCTGCATGGCTTCAGCCAACACCTGCTGCATTCCCATGAAAGGCGCAGCTCTTGACAAGCTTGCAACTAGGACCAGGAGGCCTCATCAGCAGGCTTTTCTGGTACGTCTGCTTCTTCTTGCTCGGGGGCTTCATCCTTGCAGCCCAGCTAAAGCAAATCCTCTGTGAGTTCGAAGTCTCAACGACGGAAACCCTGGCAAGTTCCCGAATCTGACTTGGCTCATTGTTTGCCGAGGCACCGCAACACCTGGAGCTGCGTCATTGCGCCGACTTGGTTTGGAGGCTCCCTTGGCGCGGGCCTCGGAAGACGAGAAGATCCAAACGGAAAAGAAAGAGTAAGCAGCCGGCCCCTCACCCGGGCCATGAGGCACAACCGGCTCTGTGCTTGAAGGAACCGCAGAGAACTTTAGATGTTCGAAGGGCGGGGTGCTTGCAGAACAGAAATCAGAATTTTGAAGTCTTGGGACTCGCACGGCAATGGTGGGCGGGGGCTCATCCGGCGCAGGTGCCTCGAATGCGCCATGCTCGAGCAGAAAACACATGGCAAACTGCATGTGACAAGCAATCTAAATATGACCTCCCCGTACCGTATGCACCGCAGCAACAGCCTCCTACTGACAGATAGAAGCACTATCCCTGCCCTCGGAAGCCGCATTGCTGTAAACGTCTACCTGTAACGGTGCCGACCACGGGCCACACGACCCAAGTCTCTTCTCGACTCAAGGACCTTAGGCCCGCCACCGTAAGTTCAGCTCGTCTGCTTGCGACCTCTTGAGCGGCCTGTGGGATGCTGTGGGGGGCTTCTTGAAGTGGGACTGCTGCCCAAGTATGCCGAAATTACAGTAGGGTCCCAGTACGTAGTTAGGGTCTGTCTGAATTCAAGGGATTCAACGCTGCAGGCTGCAAATCAAATCGCTGCAGAAGTCACGCTTTTTTACGTGTGTCTCAGCCTCTCTCTTTCAGTCTATGGGCCTTTGGGGCTGGTACCATGCCGTAGTTGTGCCCCATGTTGAGGCCTTTGAGATTTGAACCGTTTGAACCTTCGGGGCAAATTTCTGGACAAACGTTTTGGGCTAAGTATTTTGGCAGAAACAGCAGCCAGTCACTAACCACCCAGATCCCTCTGGGAACCTTTCCGTCGTCCAGGCTGCAGCGACGAAGGGGGAAAGGCAAGCAGTGAGAAACAGTGACCGACTCTGTTCACCAACGCCCTGGCTGGACTGCATCCGGTTTGCTTTGTCCGCTCTTCGGCTCGAATACGCACGAGACGGGCTAGACGTGACGCCCCGCCCTGATTCAGGCACGTTTACTTGTTCAGATGCAAGCACGGGGCTAGGCTGGACTCTCTCTCGCTTTCCTTCTTGTTGCATATACACGCCAACAGGCTTATCCCCACTATCTCTCGTCACCGCCACGGCGTGCCTTCTGGAAGATGCCTTCGATATCTTGCGCTTCTTCCTGCCGAAGCACTTCGACACATGACACAAGGAGCCATCTCGGCACAGCAATGCAAAGAGTCCCCGTACTTCTCGCAGACCCGCTCGTATAGGGCAAGCCTCGCTCAAACTCCAACTCAATCGCAACTCAGCCAAACATCGCCGTGTGCCGAAAGGTGGGGTAGGGCAACGGCTCTGACCCGGCATATCTCTCCATGAGCCCATTCACCTGCAGAAAAGATACACTAGCAAGCTGGACTTCTGGACAGTTTCGGCAAAATCTTCAAGATTCAAGGTGAACCCCGACCTCTCCAAGTTTGGCTGGGTTGCGGCGCCGGTAGACCTCTTGAATGAGAGCCTGAAAATCAGCATACGCAGCACTTCCTGGCAGTGCAAGCGGGAACTCCTGGCCTTCGCCTCAAGGGCGATCTTCAGAGTAAGCTCCCTCTCCTCCTCCGCCTCCTCGGCCTGCGCTGCCTCCTTCTCTTCCTCAACTTCCTGGCCTTCCTCTTTCTTTTCACCGTCTTCACCTTAGCTAAAGCGTGTAAAGGGCGGCAGGCCGCCTGCTTCGATGAGGCGAAAAACTTGTGGGAAAACGATCTCTGTTAGTTGGTGATCAGCCACTCGCAGCTTCTGAACCTTCCTCGGCATCATCGGCTTTCTGATCCTGGCTCGGCGGGCTCGGATTTTTGGTCGACCGCTGGCGCAAAGATCTCCAAAAGCGTGCGCGGCTCAAGCGGCACAGGACAAACGGTCTTTGACTTGAGGGTAGACGACCGCGAGATGAAACATTTGCAGGCCGATGTCCTTGTGGTCGTTGTTCGTCATGCTTTGGAGTTCTTTCTGACCTGCAGCCTGAGCATGACCATGTGGTTTGCAGAAGAAACTGCCTGACACCTTGTCACTGGGCCAAGAGGCCTCTCCAGCAAGCTCATCAGCAGCTGCGACGACCATGGCCACCTCGGGCATTCCATGAATAGAAAAATCCTGTACTCTGGCTAGCAGCTAGAATGAGGCCACAGCCACGTCCGCGTGATCTTGCTTCTCCTCGGACTTACTCAATATGTTCGCTTCCGGTATCCAGTATCTTCTTCCGTGATGCCCTAAACGGCCCAAAGCAAGCTTGCATGAGGTTGGCCTCTGTATCTGTCGCCTTTCGATCTCCATCCTCCGGCCGTCGCTTCCTCACAGAGATGGATACGGCGGTTTCGCTTCTCGCACTTCAGTTTTCCATTGCTTTTGCAGGAGCCCCACCTCCGTCGCCGCTTGCCTTGGCTGCAAAACGATTTAGGCCCTCCCATCGCAGAGTTTTGTACCAAGGAACGCTTGACCCTGATCTTCTCATGCCCGTCGCCGTGTCCTGCTTAAGCGGTGTCTCACTCACCGTTGCCTTGCCTCGCACAGTGCCGAGCCCACGGAGCCCTGCCTGCGGCAATCTTCGCGTCGGTGGCCGAGTTGTCCTGCCTTATGATTGTATGCCCGGTGCTTCGGAGATCAGAGACTTCTCCCTGAGGCCCCCACTGATCTTCGCTGGCACTGGAGGCATGGCTCTTCGCCCCGGACTCCTATAGCATTCTGGCAGAGGTTCTCAGCCGCACTTCGGTGCTCGCTGACGAGCCAGACGAGATTTAAGAGGCTGCATGGGGCATCAAAGAGCTCGCAGGTCTGCAGCACAGAGAACTGTCGTCTAGAGCTACTAGAGCACCCGCAAGTCCTGGTGAGACATGAAATTATCGAACCAAACCCCTCAACCATAAGGCAGAGCATTCTCTGTATGCTGTATGGCCTCAGCCTCTTCTTCCTTGGCTTCCTCGCTCTTCCTTGCTTTTGCCATGATGACTCGGAAGACAACAAGTTCAAAAACGCGCGGGAAGGATGGCCTGGCCGATGGGCTGCGTGCCGGAGACGGGGCCTTGCAGGCGAATCAAGCGACGGTGGGCGACAAGAACTGGGGTTTCCCTTCAAGACCAACGTGTGCAAGGCATGTTCTCTTTGAGCTTGCGGCAGTCTTCCGCGCTGCGGGGCGAACCTAGCATGCATGCCAGCTTCCAGCATCCCTCAGTCTACGGCTGCCTGGCCTTGGGTCTTGCAGCGATAGCCGGCACCTCCACCTCCATTGGGTTCAGTGAAATGCGGGGATGATGGAATTCCACAGGTGTCACATCAAGCAGAACCTCGGCTTCCTTTACCTCCTCTTGCAGGGTCTCCTGCCGAATGAACCGCCACCGTGTCGGCATCTAAAACATTGCATCCCGTGCCTGCTGCCAATACTGAGCAAGCTCACTGGCATCAACAGCGAGGTCGTCGTACTTCTCGGGTTCAGCTTCGGACTCCTTCTCTGCGTCCTTTGATCCAAGGCAAGGGAGCCAGGACAACGCCCAAGATAACCAAGAAAGACTCCAAGTCAGTATCCGCCTGCGACTCTTCCTCGTCCTTCTCCTGGCTGGCTTCTTCAGTGCACTCTTTCTCCGCGTCTTCGTCGTCCTTCTCATCTTCATCTTTGTTCTCCTCGTCCTTGTCCTCGTGTTCATCTTCTTTCTCTTGGTCCTCGTGCTCCTCTTCGGCCTCTACCTCTGTGTCCTCTTTTTGAGGGGACTCTGCCTCTCCCTCCACAGCCCCGTCGCCGTCGCCGTCGCCGTCCTTTTCTTCGGCTTCCGGCTCCTTCTCACCATTCTCGGAGGCCTCCTCTTCCTCTTCATCCTTCCGTCTCCTTCAGTCACTGTTGGCAGTAGGTGTCGCCCTCTTGTGCCGGCTTTCTCATCATAACCAAACCAAGGTATGACATTTTGGCGGGGTGAGGGGTTCGGAAGAATATGCGCCTGTCTTTCTTTCTGTATTTCCGCGAACATGCTCCTTCAGCCTATCGCCCTGAAAAACTGTCTACCGAAGCTATGGGTGCTACATGATTGATGATGCAGGCAGAGGCAGCAGTGAAACATCTTGAAACCAGCACAAGGGACCAACAGGGACACAGCAAGGCGGAGGAGGGGCAAGAGCGGGCGAGCGAGCGAGAGAGAGAGAGAGAGGGCAGAGTGCTGGAGGGGGGAAGGTGAGCATGAAGGCCGAGAGGAACGACAGACCAAGTCGATCAAACACCTGTGCAAAGATGTCAAAGGCAATGCCAAACATCACTGGGCAACTTCGCGGTGCCCATCTTCTTCTACCGGGTCAAGGGAAACACGAATAACTGCACATACCTGATAGGCGTACCGTACCTAGTAGTTGTCTTTGGGAGTCCCCCAAGCCTTGCATCTTTGCGACACCTTGAATTAACAACACTCGTCCCCCGAGTTGTCGAAAACAGAAATAGCTAAGCAATGTACAGCACATGACTCTCATGGGAAGGCTCTTACACTGTCGCACAAGTCCGGGTCCCCCTTCAAGACGCTCGAGTCAAACGAGGCGGCCACGAAACACGGCAAAACTGTAACTTTCTGGGCCCCGAGTGACACGAAGCTTTCTTGGACAGGTGCTCCACACCTATCGGAACCAACGAACTACCACAACTCAGGACCGGGCCAGGTGTACAACTAGCACGGCACATCCGAAACACCACACTGCACTATGCTCTCGGCCTTCAGTGTTGGCTACGGTCCCCCGGTGAGGATGCGTGCTGTTCAGCTCTGGAGGTGCGGAGAGGGAAGTACGTAAAGCCCACGGGGTCTGGGCACCGTCTCTCTCTCTCTCTCTCTCTCTCTCTCTCTCTCGCTGTCAGCGTCGTTTTTGCGACAGGAGGGTGAACATCAAGGCAGGGTGGTCCAGTGCGCACTC